CGGAACTACCCTCTCGACTCTCCAATCATACCCCCACCAAAACTACCCTCTCGGCTCTCTAACTATACCCTCACCAAAACTACCCTTTCGGCACTCAAATCATATTTTCCCCTAAACTACCCCCTCGACTAAGCGAGACATCCGCCAATCACATTCCCCTTAACCTCAGTGCCACCCTCATGTGACTTTCCGCACAGACTGTAGTGAGTAGACACCTTTCTGCACTTCGACGTAAACATTTCCTGGAAAATCACCTGCATAAACGGCTAATGTACAACCAGTATATCGTATAGCGTCTTTACATACACGTGTATACGCTCACGATTAGGCCCCGAGCTTATGTCGACATTTAAATCCAAAGTTTTGGCCAATTGTCCATCGCCTTATCAAAGTGATTTTACTTATGAGCTATTTTTCTGGATATTAGATCACTCTTCATTTTAATTTTATCAAAATTGCAGTTTGCACTTAAGACTTTCCCCTGATAATGAGACCATCGTCATGGGGTTTTTTTTGGGGGGGGGGGGGGGGGGTACACCACATACCTTTGTGAACAATTACTTGTATTATGACACAATCAGTTTAATAAAAATAAGAAGAAACTGCATGATAAAAAAAAATGCAAACATATATGAGACGTTTTTATACATAAGTCTCCAATGCATCCTACTGACTGTTATGTCTCTGTAGTAATATAATAATACCTTTATATCTGCCTTAACCTCTAACCATACATGCTACCCTTTGTCTGCCTGTAGTAGGCCTCTGTTGGCCTACACCGCCTGTCAACCCAATCTGCTTGTTTCTTTCCTGTAGTTTTATTCCGCCCTATGTCTCCTAGCTATGGTCCTTGTCTGCGTGTTGTCATGGTGTTGTACTGCTGTGTAACTACGTTTCCATACTAACAACTTCCTCTCTTGTGTTCTTGTACTCAAGAATACCGACAATTTGTCTTCACAGAGCTACGAACGGACGACAGACGAATCCACCACCGTCCTCTAGATATGCCAGAGCGCAGCCCATTTGACCCTCTTCAGAACAGTCGCTTCAGTCACTCGCTCCCAGACTGGCAGATCCGTCGACCGAGCTCGCACCTCTCCGACACTTCAAGCAGGGTACTCCAGCCATCCTCCGAGACCAACGGATATCACTCAGGTAACTATTGTAATGTAGAGTTATCACTAAGTTAACTGTTGTCATGTAGAGTTATCACTAATGTAACTATAATAATGTAGAGTTATCACTAAGATAACTAGTGTTATGTATAGTTATCACTCAGGTAACTTTTGCTATGTAGAGTTATCACTAAGGTAACTGTTGTTATGTAGAATTATCACTAAGGTTACTATTGTTATGTAGAGTTATCACCCAGGTAACTATTGTTATGTAGAGTTATCAATCCGGTAACTATTGTTATGTAGAGTTATCAACCAGGTCACTATTGTTATGTAGAGTTATCACCCAGGTAGCTATTATAATATAGAGTTATCACCCAGGTTACTATTGTTATAAGGAGTTATCACTCAGGTAGCTATTGTTATGTAGAGTTATCACTAAGGTAACTGTTGTTATGTAGAGTTATCACTCAGGTAACTATTGTTATATAGAGTAATCGCTAAGGTAACTGTTGTTATGTAGAGTTATCACCCAGGTAACTATTGTTATGTAGAGTTATCACCTAGGTAACTATTGTTATGTAGAGTTATCACTCCGGTTACTATTGTTATGTAGAGTTATCACCCAGGTTACTATTGTTATGTAGAGTTATCACCCAGGTAGCTATTGTAATATAGAGTTATCACTCCGGTAACTATTGTTATGTAGAGTTATCACCCAGGTAACTATTGTTATGAGGAGTTATCACTCAGGTAACTTACTGTTGTTTTGTAGAGTTATCACTCAGGTAACTATTGTTATGTAGAGTTATCACTAAGGTAACTGTTGTTATGTAGAGTTATCACTAAGGTTACTGTTGTTATGAGGAGTTATCACTAAGGTAACTGTTGTTATGTATAGTTATCACCCATATACCTATTGTAATATAGAGTTATCACTCCGGTAACTATTGTTATGTAGAGTTATCACCCAGGTAGCTATTGCTATGTAGAGTTGTCACCCAGGTAGCTATTGCTATGTAGAGTTATCTCCCAGGTAACTATTGTTATGAGGAGTTATCACCCAGGCAACTATTGTTATGTAGAGTTATCACCCAGGTAGCTATTGCTATGTAGATTTATCAACCAGGTAACTATTGTTATGAGGATTTATCACCCAGGTAACTATTGTTATGTAGAGTTATCACTAAGGTAACTGTTGTTATGTAGAGTTATCACCCAGGTAACTATTGCTATGTAGAGTTATCACTCAGGTAACTATTGTTATGAGGAGTTATCACCCAGGTAACTATTGTTAGGTAGAGTTATCACCCAGGTAGCTATTGCTATGTAGATTTATCAACCAGGTAACTATTGTTATGAGGATTTATCACCCAGGTAACTATTGTTATGTAGAGTTTTCACCCAGGTAACTATTATGAGGAGTTATCACCCAGGTAGCTATTGCTATGTAGATTTATCAACCAGGTAACTATTGTTATGAGGATTTATCACCCAGGTAACTATTGTTATGTAGAGTTTTCACCCAGGTAACTATTATGAGGAGTTATCACCCAGGTAGCTATTGTTATGTAGAGTTATTGTTATGTAGAGTTATCACCCAGGTAGCTATTGTAATATAGAGTTATCACTCCGGTAACTATTGTTATGTAGAGTTATCACCCACGTAACTATTATGAGGAGTTATCACCCAGGTAGCTATTGTTATGTAGAGTTATTGTTATGTAGAGTTATCACCCAGGTAGCTATTGTTATGTAGAGTTATCACCCAGGTAGCTATTGCTATGTAGAGTGATCACCCAGGTAACTATTGTTATGAGGAGTTATCCCCCAGGTAACAATTGTTATGAGGAGTTATCACCCAGGTAACTATTCTTATGTAGAGTTATCACCCAGGTAACTATTGCTATGTAGAGTTATCACTCAGGTAACTATTGTTATGAGGAGTTATCACCCAGGTAACACTTGTTATGAGGAGTTATCACCCAGGTAACTATTGTTAGTTGGAGTTATCACCCAGGTAGCTATTGCTATGTAGATTTATCAACCAGGTAACTATTGTTATGAGGATTTATCACCCAGGTAACTATTGTTATGTAGAGTTATCACCAAGGTAACTATTGTTATGTAGAGTTATCACCCCGGTAGCTATTGTTATGTAGAGTTATCACCCAGGTAACTATTATGAGGAGTTGTCACCCAGGTAGCTATTGTTATGTAGAGTTATCACCCAGGTAACTATTGTTATGTAGAGTTATCACCCAGGTAACTATTATGAGGAGTTATCACCCAGGTAGCTATTGTTATGTAGAGTTATCACCCAGGTAGCTATTGCTATGTAGAGTTATCACTCAGGTAACCACTGTTATACAGAGTTAAATATCATTGTCAGGTTGGTGGCGCCAAGGAAGCGCCTGTATCGGGATGACAAATACGAGTATATAGTTACCATACTTTACGAGGAGACTTCGAACGAAACTTACTCACTTCACAATGCTGATAATACTGTTCCTAACAAAAGTTCTTAAAACATTGCCTCATCACATGTATTAACGCTGTGTCTAATTGTTTTTTCACTATACAGAGCCGACAGGGAAGAGAAGCAGTCCCTGGGGTACGGGATTCGACCCCTATCCCGTCATCACCACACACGCCCCCGTCTACTCGCAGCCCCCACCCCTCCCTGGAACAGGTACGAACATTTGGACCACAATGTACCACTGTTCTGAATAAATAATATAATACAATAGTCATATACTTTATACCGTGAACAATCGACGTGTGTGATTTATATGTATTTTAATGGTTCTGCTGGTAATGGTGCCCTATAATTCTGAAGACGGTTTTACGTAGCTATTTGTTTCCGAATTGTTTTGTTAAATACATAATGTGTATGAATTTGCCATTTTTGACTTGTAACTGATACAGTACCGTTGAACTAATCTAACTAACACTGCTAGCCCGCTGACGTTATTATTCTGTGTTTTAGGTCACCAGATCACACCACCACCACCAACTTCCATCGAATCTCATATTACGGATACTCTACTCACCGACTCAAGACTCCCAACACTTCACAAGGGATCAGCACCACACCATGATGCCATGGTTACCTCTCACTCACAGGTAGTCGTGCCGGATCCTCAGCGACCAGACATATCAGCACTAGAAGCTCGTCATTCCGAACCGCGCATGCCGCTGGACTCCCAACTTCCGCTGGTGTTGCCGCGTTACCCGGAAGTTCGGTTACAGGAACACCGAATATCGGAGACGCGGTTCACTGAGAGTACCAGTAGACATTTGCTCACACATTCACACAGCGTTCAGCCATATCAGTCGGCTAATTCTAACTTCGCCATCTTGAGAGAGAGTCGGGACATCAACCCTCTGCCATTGTCTGTCTCCCATAGCAACTATCCCATCATCACGGCCCAGGACCTACTGGCAAGCATAAATCCCGCCACCACTATGGCCCCTTCTTACCTACCCGGATCCCCGTCGAGCGTCCTCCCGACCAGCTTCCTGTACCCTCACCTGTACTCATCACCCCCTCAGATCTCCAATCTCTTCCTGCCTTCGGGGGAAGTACGAACATACGAAATACTCGGTCAGCGATCATCTGATATTCCAATGAGGGTGGAGCGACCAATGACGCCATCTAGTAACCGACTACAGATAGAGGGACCTCCCAGATCGGTCCTTCGAGACGAACAAGAAGAACAACGCATGCGTATGGAAACAAGGAATGGTATTCACCCCATGGATGTGCACGTCTCTGACACAAACCGGTCGCCGCCTAGGTCAGTGGATAATTCCAACCCAGACTCCACGGTCTGGCGTCCGTACTGAGCAGTCGCTTGACTGTTGGACCAGGTCTTAACGTACATTCGAATTCCCTTAGAATCACGTGATTCTTGCGATGACGATCAAAGCTTTGAACGAAGAAACAGAAGTTTAGTGCTTGTTCTTGGGACCTCTGACCCGATAGAACGCCGACCACTGATGGTCGAGAGCGAGGTGGTATTGGACAGGCCAGCTGGGAAGTACGCCGTTCATTGGAGAATGTGTCGAAGACATTTGTTAAAAACTGATCTTTCAGTTCTGTGAAGGCATTTTGATACGTTTTGGGGAGATGTTCCCAAGTGCGATTAATTGTGATTGGAGTCATTTCAAAAATGAATCTGGAACTGTTTCAGTGGCAGTGAATGAGGAGAAGTATTGGTTGTCAGTGTAATGAATTCTCAGTACAGCAAGGTGGCAGTGTAACGACTCCATCAGTCGTGTGTGATGAGATATTACGGTTGGGACAGACGTGATTAGCAGTGAAGTGTGAGGATTGTAGCGGACAGGAGTACAGTCTACATGTGTGTGGAGTATAGTCAGTGCATCGTATTTAGTGCAACTCTTTTTCAAGAGGTAAAACGCAATGTGTTGGGAGTGCCAGTATTTGGGCCACGTGGTTGGTCGGTTTTGTGATAGGACAAGCTGAGGTGTCCTCATTTTAACTATTGTAAGAATATATCCTTTTATATTTTATTTTTAATAGATCCTTTCAATTTAAAATGGTTTTTTTGTCAAGAATGAAGTTTTGTAAACATTTTGACATGTTTAGCCTACATAATTGTTGTAAGTATCGAAGTGATGATAATTCGATCTTTTGAAGGTATCAATGAAGAATGTGGCTCTGAGTCGAGAGAACTGATCAATGATTGGCTTAGGTTATTTTATGGTATCCGCCAATCAGTGCCTCGTATGAAATGTTTGAAAGTTACCATTGTTTCAGTGTGAATGAGCAGGTCAGACACGGCGCTGAAGCAGACATTGGCTTCTACGATACAGAAACTCTTCAGTCAATTACATTATTCCAGTTTTAAGTCCTACTGTCATTGAAATATATGTCAGGGGCGGATCAAGACATTTCGAAAGTTTGGCAGTTGTTGGTCCATTTTTAGGTCACCTATTGCGATCGCCTTTTGTCCGGCGTCGTGCGTCGGTTAACAATTTACATTTTCGACTTCTTCTCCAAAACCCCTGAACCAATTTCAATGAAATTTTGCAAAAACCTTCCATGGCCAAAGGTCAACCAAAATTGTGAACTATATGGTCCCCAGCTACCAGGGGCATGAGGGGCGGGGCCAAAAAGGGTCAAATTGACTAAAATTTAAAAAAATCTTCTTCTCAAGATCCAGATATGATAGAATCAGATACTCTTCATAGATTGAAGGGTCTTAAGGTGCTTTACCAAAATAGTGAATTTCATGGGCCTCTTGTTTTCGACTTATGATTCCAATGTCACTTCACGTGGATATTGATTGAGATACTGTGGCTGTGTCTCGGCCTATGATTAATAAGATGTGACTGATGAATACATCGGTATGATGAATAAGATATTTTCTCGGCTAAGGATAACTCAAATATCAAAGCCAGTGATTAAATGGATGTTTCGGCCTATGCTAAATCAGATATCTCGGTCTATGATGAATTAGATATCTTGGCATATGATTAATAATTTCGGGCTTTGCCGTTTCTTTTCTATCGTTTTATTCTTTATCCGTCTTTTAGGATGTTTCTTTAAAAGGAGAGGGGGTCCGGACCCCAAGGATTTTTCCTCCCCTTAGTGGTCCATCCCTGCTTTTTCCACATCATTATATTTGTAACCCAAACTGTAACATGAGTGCGTCATAAATTGACGTCACGACTAGTCTTGTGATGAGGGTATGGTCTGACGTCAGCGGTGTGTGTAAGGTATACGAGTAAAAAGGCGGCTAGCACGGAGAAGTAGATTTTGTACGATGAACTTTAAAGTGTCTTTATTCCTGGGGTCAAGGCCTTACTGTGACCCGGAAGTTTAAAGCTGCTAAACGAATGGTGCTTTGTATCATATTTGATGGATTTCAGTCATGTGCAGAGAAGATTTTGTTGTTACAACGTGTTTTGTTGTCTCAAACTGGATATTTGATCTCAATTTAATTTGTGATTTGTTTTTTGTCCTTTTTTCAACAATTTTATTGTTGTATAAATTCCAGGCTTTTGTAAGTCGTTTTGTACATGTTTTATAGCCCTCATCTCCTCCCTCTCATATCAAATTGATCGTACTTCAATAAAAATCGTTTCGCAAATTTACTGAATATTCCGGATGTGAAACGCTTCAGTTTTACTTTTTAACTATTTACAATTTTATTAACTGTGTCATGTTTTTTTTTCTTTTTGCATTTTAATTGCTTGGTCAATAATTGTATGTTAGTTTTTACTTTTTATCGACTGCTCTAATTAAGAGCCTAGGACATTTTCATCTTTCATTATATCATTTAATTACGTCATTTTTGGTCGGATCATTTTTGTTGTTCCGGAAATCCATGGTTGAGAGGAGATGGTGTATTATGGGACAAATTCCACGACATGTCTGCCGGTGTGTGACCCCGTGGGTCACTACGGTGTTTATTTCTACGTATATATTTATGCTCCACATGCTATTAAATGTCAAATACAAAACAACACATTTGTCTTGTTATTTCTCTCGCGTTACCTCCAGTTACATTAGTCAACTATTAAGCTGTTTCTTTTTCTGCAAACTTAACTTTTATACATGTAGCATGCTCCACGGGGCAGGCTCAGAAGCTTGTAATGTTGAATGAAACATGTACTTGTTTTATATGTGAAGTTTGATAAATAAACTAATTCCCCAAACTTCTAACAATTGACGCAGTCACAAGTTCACATGATGGATTGGTTTATAATAGAGTTCACACCAGAACTAGAACAGAATAAAGTCATACGATGATAAGTTATAAGCCGTGTACACTGAGGACCGGTTCAGCATGAAGTACACGCCAGGATCAGTACAGGGTAATAAGTAATGGATTTGTACAGGTCAGGGATCTGTACAGTCTGGGGATTTGTACACTCTGGGGATGTGTACAGATCATGGATTTGTACAGGTTAGGGATCTGTACAGTCTGGGGATTTGTACAGTCTAGGGATCTGTACAGTCTGGAGATTTGTACAGATCATGGATTTGTACAGTCTAGGGATCTGTACAGTATGGAGATTTGTACAGATCATGGATTTGTATAGTCTGGGGATTTGTACAGTCTATGGATTTGTACTATCTAGGGATGTGTACAGTCTGGTGATTTGTACAGTCTGGAGATTTGTACAGATCATGGATTAGTACAGTCTATGACTTTGTGCAGATGAGGAATTGGTACAGGTTATGAATTTGTGCAGTTTTGGGATTTGCACAGGTTAAGGATTTGTGTTATGGATTTGTTCTGCTTATAATATTGATTTGTATATGTTAGGGACATGTCGTAGATGAGTTGAGTGGAACATAGTACAAACGGACGTTTAAGATTTGATATTGGTACGTTGACTTATGTTTGGTGTTGACCAGTACCTGACAACAGACTTACCAGACGGTGGCCACATGACCGTAACACAAGACGATTATGTCGTGATGTGAGAAGATTACGTTGTGACTACTCCCGATCACACCTTTCATATTCTGGTCACGTTTTGTACGCGCACGTGTAGCACGCGGAGGCTGATGGCAGATTATAATGACGTCATGTCCGCGCTCCGGTAAGAGTAGGATGGATGCGGGTCTTTTAACTTAGTAGAGAACACAAAATGGCAGTTGTCCGAGACGTTTTAATCCCCCACCCCTACCCGAGCAAGCGTGTCTTCTCAATTAAAATATAGTGTGTTAATACTTGTCACATTCACTATATACGTAAATCTCCATTGAAATTTCTGACGCTTAAACCATCTCCTGTTGTGCAGAAACGTGGGTTACAGCTTTGTGCAAGTAATGTATAAATGTACTTGTCATTGTCCTCCTGACCTTGTCCATGGACTGTCTTTAAAATATACAACGGAAGTATATCTAGTGCGACGGTTTGATAAGATGGGGTAGATGATTGAAGGACTGTTGCATTGATCTGATACAGCACACCCGCGTCCAACATTGAAGAGAAAACGCACATTGAGCGCCATTAATAAAACATAACGCTTACAAAATATCAGCAAATCTGACCGAAGGGTCAGTCAAATATCGCTAAGACGTGAGCAGTCAGTAAATAAGTTAATATAACAAAGACGTGAGCAGTCAGTAAATAAGTTAATACAACAAAGACGTGAGCAGTCAGTAAATAAGTTAATACAACAAAGACGTGAGCAGTCAGTAAATAAGTTAATACAACAAAGACGTGAGCAGTCAGTAAATAAGTTAATATAACAAAGACGTGAGCAGTCAGTAAATAAGTTAATATAACAAAGACGTGAGCAGTCAGTAAATAAGTTAATATAACAAAGACGTGAGCAGTCAGTAAATAAGTTAATATAACAAAGACGTGAGCAGTCAGTAAATAAGTTAATATAACAAAGACGTGAGCAGTCAGTAAATAAGTTAATATAACAAAGACGTGAGCAGTCAGTAAATAAGTTAATATAACAAAGACGTGAGCAGTCAGTAAATAAGTTAATATAACAAAGACGTGAGCAGTCAGTAAATAAGTTAATATAACAAAGACGTGAGCAGTCAGTAAATAAGTTAATATAACAAAGACGTGAGCAGTCAGTAAATAAGTTAATATAACAAAGACGTGAGCAGTCAGTAAATAAGTTAATATAACAAAGACGTGAGCAGTCAGTAAATAAGTTAATATAACAAAGACGTGAGCAGTCAGTAAATAAGTTAATATAACAAAGACGTGAGCAGTCAGTAAATAAGTTAATATAACAAAGACGTGAGCAGTCAGTAAATAAGTTAATATAACAAAGACGTGAGCAGTCAGTAAATAAGTTAATATAACAAAGACGTGAGCAGTCAGTAAATAAGTTAATATAACAAAGACGTGAGCAGTCAGTAAATAAGTTAATATAACAAAGACGTGAGCAGTCAGTAAATAAGTTAATATAACAAAGACGTGAGCAGTCAGTAAATAAGTTAATATAACAAAGACGTGAGCAGTCAGTAAATAAGTTAATATAACAAAGACGTGAGCAGTCAGTAAATAAGTTAATATAACAAAGACGTGAGCAGTCAGTAAATAAGTTAATATAACAAAGACGTGAGCAGTCAGTAAATAAGTTAATATAACAAAGACGTGAGCAGTCAGTAAATAAGTTAATATAACAAAGACGTGAGCAGTCAGTAAATAAGTTAATATAACAAAGACGTGAGCAGTCAGTAAATAAGTTAATATAACAAAGACGTGAGCAGTCAGTAAATAAGTTAATATAACAAAGACGTGAGCAGTCAGTAAATAAGTTAATATAACAAAGACGTGAGCAGTCAGTAAATAAGTTAATATAACAAAGACGTGAGCAGTCAGTAAATAAGTTAATATAACAAAGACGTGAGCAGTCAGTAAATAAGTTAATATAACAAAGACGTGAGCAGTCAGTAAATAAGTTAATATAACAAAGACGTGAGCAGTCAGTAAATAAGTTAATATAACAAAGACGTGAGCAGTCAGTAAATAAGTTAATATAACAAAGACGTGAGCAGTCAGTAAATAAGTTAATATAACAAAGACGTGAGCAGTCAGTAAATAAGTTAATATAACAAAGACGTGAGCAGTCAGTAAATAAGTTAATATAACAAAGACGTGAGCAGTCAGTAAATAAGTTAATATAACAAAGACGTGAGCAGTCAGTAAATAAGTTAATATAACAAAGACGTGAGCAGTCAGTAAATAAGTTAATATAACAAAGACGTGAGCAGTCAGTAAATAAGTTAATATAACAAAGACGTGAGCAGTCAGTAAATAAGTTAATATAACAAAGACGTGAGCAGTCAGTAAATAAGTTAATATAACAAAGACGTGAGCAGTCAGTAAATAAGTTAATATAACAAAGACGTGAGCAGTCAGTAAATAAGTTAATATAACAAAGACGTGAGCAGTCAGTAAATAAGTTAATATAACAAAGACGTGAGCAGTCAGTAAATAAGTTAATATAACAAAGACGTGAGCAGTCAGTAAATAAGTTAATATAACAAAGACGTGAGCAGTCAGT